TAATAACGGCATGAAGTTGTTGCGGTTTTGTGCAAACAACGGATTGTCTATTATGAACTCCTTCTTCGAGTACCGAACAGGGCAGCAGTTACCTGGTACCGGGAAGCTTGTGATCAGAAGTCGATGATCGACTTGATAATCGTATCGTTTGACATAAGACGCTCAGTTATGGATGTTCGCGTTATGAAAGGCGCAGAGCTATCAACCGATCACCACCTTGTTGTTGGCACGCAGCACTGTAAGAAATGAAGTACCATAGGAAGATCTGGTGCCAAAAGCAACCGGAAAATCAAATAGGAAACATTACTTTGGGTCGAAACGAGGGCAAAATTTGCAAACAACATTCCACGGCCGTTTAAGCAGATCCAGGTGTAAACTACTGTTGTGGCAACTGAGTGGGAGCAATTTAATAATTGCATACTCACGGTTACCGCCGAATGCTGCGGATTTAAACGGGTTGGCCTGCCGCCTGGAGGTCAAATAAAATGTTCCTGGTAGACGCGATAGGTACAACGTGCAATTAAAGAGAAGAAAGCAGCTTTCAAGAAATGGCTTGGAAACAAGGAGCCATCTACACGCGTGCGATATGTCGAGGCACGAAAGGCAGCTAGCCAAAGCAGTGGCAAAAGCCATAGCTGATTCCTGGGAGAAGTTCGATGAGGTGTTGGAGTCGAATTTCTACACGGCAAACACGGTATTCTGGCACACCAACCGCTGGCTCCAAGGTGAAAAAGAGGACAATCTAAGAGTCTTGAAGGACATGTCTGGACACCCTTTTACCAACCATGATGACATTCTTCAACGATGGACGGAGTACTTCGCGGAACTCGGTAACTCCAAGCAGCCACAGGAAGACTCGTCTGCACAGCAGCAAAGAACGGACATCATTGTCTGTGTAGGTGAAATTACACAAGCTGTGAAAAGCTTGAAAAATGGAAAGGCTGCTGGAATTGGTGAAACCCGCCCTGAGGTGCTCAAAGCAGTAGGCAAACAAGACGTGTACTGGCTTACACGTGCCTCTAAAACTGCAACGACTGCGGGAACGACACCAGCGGACTGAGAAGCGGGAGTTGTTGTAGCCTTATTCATGAAAGGACACCACTGGGAGAGCTTTAATTACAGGGGCATTTCTAAATTGGGCGTCCCAATAAGATATACGCAAAGGTGCTATAAAGGAAGTGCCGCAGAATAGCTGACTTTAACATACAAGATGAACAATGTGGCTTCAAGTCAGACCGAGGCACATGTGACCAGGTATTCACGTTACGCCAGATCGTTGAGAAGTTACGGGAGTTCGCCCATCCAGTGTATGTGTGCTTTGCGAATCTAGAACCAGCCTATGACCGATTGTCGCGCAACAATCCATGGGCATATCTGCGAATATTTGGGAGCGACGGTCAGTTGTTACTGGCCATCCAATCACTACATACTGATAACATTGGTTGCGTTAAGTCGAAACTTTATACCGTTGGCGCCGGTCTCCACTAAGGCTGCGTTCTGTCCGCTCTCCTGTTTGTGTTGTACACGGATAGAATAACGAGGCGCAGCAAGGGCGATGAGAGTATCAGTGTAGGAGATGTCGAAATCAGATGGTTGGATTGTTCGCAGAGGATCGGGTTTCATTTTTATCTTCTAAAGCTGCAGCGCACCCTGAAAATTTTTGCAGCCCAACTGCTGCGTGGTCGGCATGCGTGTGAACGCCATCTAAAACAAAAGGCCTGAAATTTTCTGATTCCCCTGACCGTTGCTCTCTTCCGATAAACAGAAAAGAAGTGGAGTTGATGGAGAGGTTCAAGTTCTTCGAGGTTGTGCTTACTGGTAATGCAATATTTGAAAAAGTGATCGACCGGCGGACTGGAGGTGCAAGTGGCGTTCTGCATGAACCGACCCGAACCATTATGATTAAGTCAGAGATTAGTCTTTCGACTAAACTTTCGGTTTTCAAGTCGATCTTCATCCCCATGTTTACCTACTGCCACACATCGTTGACCATTTTTGAAAACCTTTGATGCCCGGTTTCAGCAGCTGAAATATGCTTTCCGAGAGGAGTAGTTAGCCTACATGTCTGCACATGATCCGGAGTACAGAAATCTGCGAGATCCCTGGTATACAGCCACTGGTCTTCAGCTTTAGAAGTAGCAGCTGCAGTTACTTCGGCACGTTTTACGAACACCTCCATAAACGAAAACAAAGTACCCCCCCCCGAACGCTGGGTGAGCCCTATTTCTCAGAGGATCGGAAGAAGGCTTTGGTGACAGCCAAGATCAATTTGGTATAGATATGTGGAATGAGTCTGCTCAAAACTTTAGTTGTCTTCGTTCGAAACTCAGACTCTGGCATATAATCTTGAAGGTTGGAAGCATGGTCTGCGCAGCTGCCTGCGCGACCCGAAAAGAGAAGCATTTAATGCCGATGATGACAATTAAAATCATTGAATCCGTTAGTAAGATTTATAAAAGTGCAATTAAAAGCAAGTGGCGTGCCCGGCTAGCTCAGTCGGTAGAGCATGAGACTCTTAATCTCAGGGTCGTGGGTTCGAGCCCCACGTCGGGCGTCAACTTTTCTTTTTCCGAATGTGCAACTTCTTTGTTTATTTTTAAGTAAACATTCGTTCACGACCGCACCTTCTAAATATCACATGGTATGTAAACCCGAGTTTATGCACACACACGCACTGAATGTCGTAAATAATGGCAAAAATTCACGTGCACCGGAGGTTGCAACGATGTCGATGCAAAAGATGAAAGCACATCTGAAATTTGTGAGGGTTTTTAATTTCTCCTTTCAATGATGCAGTAGTCAGTCTTTCGAGGAAAAGCGTT